AAGTCTTATTTTTCCTTCCGACTACACCATTAAATTTAGGTGAGTATGGAGGAGTAACTTCATGTATAATATCATGTTGCTCACAAAATTCATTAAAAGGGTCAGTTTCATATTCTCCTCCCCTATCAGTCCTCAACCTTTTTATTTTTTTATTCAGTTGATTTTCGAATTTTATTTTATATTTGATAAATATTTCACTGGCTTCATCCTTATTCCTAAACAAATATAATTTAGTATACCTCAAACAATGATTAATAAAAGTAACATAATATCTTTTTCCACCTCTTGTCATGGTATTCTTAAGATTACCTAAATCACTATGTTTCAAATTAAGTAATTCGGTTTCTCTTTCAACCATCCTAGAATATTTTTTATTGATTTTAGATTCAGCACAAACTTCACATTTATCAACATCCGAAATTGAAAAAAATTGAGATAAGACATAATTCTCTCATCTTCTTGATATAAATAAAATTCACTTGACCTAATCCACCATGTCACATATCAAGAGAGTCACATAAGTAAAAGAACTAGATTCATTCTCATTCATGACTTCAATAACATTCATTACATAAAGACTCTTATTAGAGTAACCTTTCCCAACAAAAGTGACATTCTTGGTCATTATGATTTTTTCACTCTCAAATGTTACTTTCACTCCTAGCTTATTCAAGACGAATACTGGCACTAAGTTCCAACAAATATTAGGCACGTGGAGCACTTCAGAAAATGAAATAATCTTTCCAGAAGTCATAATTTAGTAACACATTTCCCTTATACATAACAGACAAGGGTCTAGAGTCACCCATAAACACTTGTTCCTCTTTATTCCCCACAGGTGTGTAGGAGATAAAATCACTTCTATTGCAACAGGTATGCTTTCTAGCCCCGGAGTCTATCAACCAATATTTTGTAGTAGCAGTCACGTTAACCCCGGATATGACTGTAGCAATCATAACATCCGCCTTAACCAAATTGACATTAGATTTGGTAGGTTTGTTGTTCCACTTTCGGTGTCGGCATTCTTAAGCATAATGTCCTGCCTTTCCACAAACAAAACAATTACTTTTCTTCTTAAAACTAGAATCTTGACCTTATGGAGATTTTTTCGTTGTAATTTTTTTTCTTATGCTTATATTAAGACTTATTCGTTGTCTCCACAACATTGGCCTTAAAGTCATTTTCCTTAGTTTTTTCAATTTTATCCTTCAAATTATTTTTCTCCTCAATCCTAATATGGATGATTACATCTTCCAAAAACAGATCTTTTCTTTTGTGTTTGAGATTATTTTTGTAGACTTTCCAAGAATCAGGTAATTTTTCAATCAAAGCACCACCTACGAATGTTTTAGGCAAAATAATTTCTTAACTCATTAACAATCAGATGATACTCATGAATTTAAGAAGACTCATCCTTTTTCTCAACTATCTTATCTAAAAAATTTCCTATTGCATACTTTTTAATCCCCCGCATCTCCGATAATATACTTTTTCACCAAATCATCTCAAATCTCCCTAGCATCCTTATAAGTATAGTAAACATCAAAAATCTCATTCAATAGAATACTCAAGATAATATTTCGACAAACTTTATCAATCTTTTCTTATTTTCTTTTTCTCATTCATAATTTTTTGTATCTTTTTTGGGTTTTAAATCAGTTAAAACAAAGGTAACACATGAAATATCTAGTAACATCATAATCCTTTGTTGCTAATACTTAAAATTAGACCCATTGAAAAACTCAATTTTTGCTACATCGAGAATAGTCTTGTTTATAATTGTAGCATCTATGTTAACTCTATTCTTAATATTGTTATCAAAATACACGTTAAAAATGCTACAATATAAAAAATAAACAAGTAATGAATAAAAAGCTTATCGATAAAGGCGTATATTCACTGTCCTTAAGAATAGATTTTCATCTTTCTGAGTATAAAACCTGGTGCAACATGTTATGGCGTTCTATCTTCCAGAATTCAACTATTACTTCTCACAAGCGCGCATTCACAAATGTAAAGGTGTCTCGAATAACTCTTGATCATTCTCAAATCAAAACCAAAAAAAATTGCAAAAGATAGCATTCTTGAATTGAAAGTAAAGATATCAGATTGAATAAATTATCTACTTTTCAAACTCTGGTTATTATCAGTATACTTTTCTTTGTTTTTTGTCTTCACTCAATTTTTCCGTTGTTTTTTTTTTTTGTAATAAAATCTGGCACAACTTTAAATAGCAACACAGAAGAAAGAGACACAACTTTTGAATGCAAAGCTTCGGTGCAACTGTTGGTGAAATGTATGAATTTGAACAAACTATTAATTCACTGACCAACACAATGGAAAGTAGTTGGTACATATATAAATATACAATGACCAATTGATCATCACATGAGAAGCATTAAAATAATGGAACAACCCCAACATTTATTCTCAAAAATTCTTACATTTCTTTCTAACCAAATCATCGCAAATGATGACAAACAACGCACAATTCCAAAAGATTATCAATAACGGCGCCTACGCATTTTATTGGCATGTCGGTAACCATGCCCACACATGGAAGTGGGAGAAGCTGACATCAATTACAAGTCAATATAGTGATATTACTTAATCTATATGATTACATACTTTAATTAAAAAAAATATTTATTTTGGAGACATTTCATCCGTTATCTATATGATTCATTTTCAGAAGCTTATAAATTACACAAGCGGCCTTATCCAAATGCCCTTCCGAGAAGGGTTAGGAGTTTTAGCCTCTTCTGAGGCTGGAGAGGATGGCCAGCCTCAAAGGAGGCTAAGGCCACACTTGTTGCCTTCGAATCAAGTCTTACCACGCCAAAAATAAAACATTGAAATAACCACTTAATTTGTATCAATTTAGTATAAAATATGGATTCTGAAGAAATTGACAAAATGCACCTTGAAGAAATTGTCCCAAAATTTGTTGTATACAAGAGAAAAATGACAGGTTCAGGCAGCTATTTGGATTTCCTATCACGCCCAATTTCAGTGTGAATTCACCTGCCAGGAGAAAAACAAAAAGGAAAACAATATTAATCTTCACATCAATCCTAAAACCACGAGACTTGCCTTCCCCCCCCCCACCCCCACCTGGTGGGGATAAAAACCCATCTACACACAACAAAAGACATAAAATGAAATAAAAAGTCTGAAGGCTACTATTTAGTCCCATTAGGCGTTATAAAAAAAAAAACCTATGATCTGTCTCAAATCATCTACTCTTATGCTTCGTCTGGTGCGATAAAAAAATGGAAACATGGAGAGTTATAGGTATAAATAAAATATCATGTTTAGTAAAGAAGGAAAATATAAATGATGAAAAAATGGATAGATTAACTTCCATTCTAACTCGTCAAAATCAATTCCTTCAAAATTAAAAGGAAAAATAGATAAAAAGTTAATTATGTGTGTTAAAATATGTTATTTGTCTATATTACTTTTAATATATACATATATCATGTTCATACATTAATTTTATATATAAATATAATGGTAAAATATGTATTTATACTTTTTTCAATAAAAAAATAATAAATATTTTTTCCATCTTATCAAACAAAAAAAAAATCAATATTTCTTACTTTTCATCTCTCTTTCTATACACAAAGGGGGGAATAAAGATTCCTCCATTAAATGATGGAAAGTGGAATATGTACACTTTACATCCACCCTACCAAATGAAGCATTAAGGGCGTGTTTAGTTTGGTTTTCAAACACAGTTTTTTGTTCTCAAAACTCTAAAAACAAGGAAGATATTGTTTGTTTAACTTTTTTGTTCTCCAATTTTTTAAAATTTTTGAAAAATGAGATGTAATTTTAGAGAATAATAAAATGATGTTTTCTGAGTTTTCAGGCAAAAATAGAAAATAAGGGAAACAACTTCTCCTCTTTAACGAGGTCCACCCATCAAACTTCCATATTAAAATACATTTTTTTTCATTAAAGTATAAAATCCCTTCACTTCAACGACGCTGAAAACGATCTGAGTTCATTTTTTTTTCTCCATCTCCTCTCTCTCTCTCTCTCTTTGTGCAACGATGTTGTGCCACGATCTGGGTTCGAAACACTGTGCAACGATCTGGGTTCAAGACGTTGTGCAACAATCTCTCTACTTCAGCAAATCCAAATGATCTGGGTTCAAGAACTCCAACATCTTCTTTGGTCTCTATTTGTGTGCTCAGTATGCGACTCTCTCTCTCTCTCTCATCAACAATGTGCAGATCTGAGACACAGATTTAGGTTCAAGACACACACACACACACACTTTGTATATGTTTATGTTTGTGTGTGCATGTGTGTGGATTTTGTAAAGACAGGGAGAGGAAAAAAAAAGAGAGATCGAAATTACAAAATTTGTAGATTATCGTTCAAACAGATTTTATAATTTTTTGTTCATTAAAACTAATTTCAAAAATATATAATTAAACAAGTTTTACAATTTAAAATTTTTTAAAGAAACTTTCTTAAAATTCTTCTCAAAAACTATTTCCGAATACTATTTTTTAAAATGCAAACCAAACAGATCGTAAGTTTTTCTTCATTTTAAGCACTTGTTACAAATCTCTGTATCACATGACTCTTTGTTCTCTTGAAATTTGCAGCAAGGCATAAAACAATAGAGCTATGAATCATATACTCTGAAATTCTTTAAAGTTTTAAGCACTTGTTACAAATACGAGTATCACGTGGATTTTGTTCTTGTGAAAATTGCAGTATGCGTAAGTAATACGTAATACAAGTGCAAGTCCCAAAAAACACATTATATGAATGGGCGGGTATTAAGTCTGACATTGTTTTCCTAGCAATGGAAAGTACTTGTAACAATCCTAGCATGAAGTCCATTACACAAGAACTTAAAAAAAATATCACATTTTGTAAAATGCTATTATCAACGTTTCTTTCGGCCAAAACCCACCACCAATATGCAGGTCAGTAATCAGCAACATGACAAGAATCCACAAAATGTTTGTTAGACCTCAGGCAGGAGAAAAAGCCGGTACTTCTGTCTTGCTGCTTGAATCAGTTTTAGCTACCACCGATGGCGGTGTGTAGATTCGTGCTTTCTTCAGAATCTCAGCTACCACCCAGTGCTTGTGCTTGCTCAATGGCCTCGAAGGATCCAATCTAACCTGCAATACAGTCTCAAACAACAAACCCGAACTTTTTAACTATCAACAAAGTCCATAACTGAATTAGAGTATTTATATGTGAATCAAAAAACATATCCATCACATCCCTTTTTTTTTTTTTGGGATGTTATATTTGTTGCATACATTCCATTTTTCTGTTTCTGTCGTACATAACGGCAATAGAAAGTAAAGAGCAAAGTGGACATCTATATCAGTCTCTGATTTTGCTAAGCAGTATCATTAGCTTTCGGAGTACAACTACAAATATTTTAAATTGTCTTTCTTCTTCTCTTGGAATCAATGAAAGATATGATATCTTTCCATCAAGTTTAAATAAACAAATTTAACAAATCAAAAGAAAATGAGCATTAATTTGATGATGTAACAAAGGCAAGTTTTTCTTTCCCTTTAAAAAGAGAAGAATAATCAGAATATTAAATTCCCTGGAGACAAAAAAAGAGAGAAAGAGAAGCAAATGGTGATTTCATAATCTATGACTTTAAAAGTACGTATCATGGAAAAACTTTTATTTTTCTCTTTTACCCTCTAAAATTTCTTAATTATCTAAACTACCATCAATAAATATATTATAAATGTTGTTCATCATAAAAGTTCATCTATTTATTGAGCGGGTACAATAAACTTTCATCTCCTCTTTTTTTGCTCAACAATCACCATCCATTACACTTTAAATATATACTAATTAACAAGAAAATAGTTAATTATTAATCATGACTTCTTACTGTTTTGTATTCTAATAACCAAAATGTTATCTAAACAATTGTTCATCTATGCCCTCCTCATCCATTCAACACGTTACACACACATATCTATATCTATACTAATAATAAAAGGCAACTTAAAAGAAAATTCTATTTTTTTCTCAATTAATATTGTAAAGTCAATTTTATCCTTTTAAGTCCAGGTCATTATGTAATATTGATCATTAATGAATTAATTGCATATCTATCTATCCATCTATACTATATATATACTAATCTAAAATATCAGCTAATTTCAAAACTTTAGAATTCCTTTTTTACCCTTAAAAATATAATTATTTCCTCCTAAATCTAACTGTGTTAATTGGTCAGTAAACCTAACGTTAACTCCTCCGCCTAAATCTCACACACTGTGCCCTTCATCTCTTTCATTAACTCCTCTGCCTTAATCTCACAGACAGGTGGCCCTTCATCTCTCTCACATCAGAAGGTAAGGCACACTGCACCCCTTCATCTCCCTCACTTTCGCCTGAAGTTCTCCTCCTTCATCTCTCCTCTTTCAGCTGTACAGACTCCAAACATTAATCACAGCAATGGTTACTATCAGTTATGAATGGGGAGCTAAATAATTACGACCCNCATTATGTAATATTGATCATTAATGAATTAATTGCATATCTATCTATCCATCTATACTATATATATACTAATCTAAAATATCAGCTAATTTCAAAACTTTAGAATTCCTTTTTTACCCTTAAGAATATAATTATTTCCTCCTAAATCTAACTGTGTTAATTAGTCAGTAAACCTAACGTTAACTCCTCCGCCTAAATCTCACACACTGGTGCCCTTCATCTCTTTCATTAACTCCTCTGCCTTAATCTCACAGACAGGTGGCCCTTCATCTCTCTCACATCAGAAGGTAAGGCACACTGCACCCCTTCATCTCCCTCACTTTCGCCTGAAGTTCTCCTCCTTCATCTCTCCTCTTTCAGCTGTACAGATTCCACACATTAATCACAGCAATGGTTACATCAGTTATGAATGGGGAGCTAAATAATTACGACCAAGCAGTGTTGCTCTACACTGTGGCTGTTCCCATTGCCAAACCAGCGATACTCTGTTTCTTATGCATTTCATATGAAGCAAGTATGGAATATTTTTAATGATCAACATCTTTGGACTGAAGTTTTTTTCTGCCAAATTCTTAAAGGAGGATCATATTCTGAGAAGTTTTATAAGCTCAAGCACAAAAGTGTACAGAGATTTCTTACTTTGGTTCAATAAAGTTATTATATTGTTTTCGGGATGACAAGCTTATTTGGTCATTATCTCCATTGGGGTTGTTTTCAATTAAATCAGGTTGGGAGTTTATACAATCAAAGAAAGAGGAGTATGAAGTAGTTAAGTTCATTTGGAAGCAAGAAACTTCTCCTGCATTGAAATTGCACGGATGGAAACAATACAAAAGAGCCTTAGCTATTGATGATAGATTGATATCTGTTGTGATTTCTACTTCCAGTTATTGTGTTTTGTGTAAAAAAGAGGCAGATGATAGATTGATATCTGTTGTGCAATTATGTGGCCCGGATTTGGAGAAGAGTGGCCTCTCTTTTGGGCTTCAATTTGATTCCCAATGAAGGTCCTATGCTAAGGTTTATGATAATAAAAAGGGCACATAAGAAGAAATTTTTATCACCCGAGTGCCGGCGGAGTTTTCCTCTGTTTTTCTTTTGGGAAGTTTGGAAAGAGAGATGTATTCAAATGTTTGAAATAAAAAGTTGTTGCCAAATATTGTTTTCTTATGAATTAAGAATTCCTTACATTTGCAAGCAACAAATAGTAAGGCCAACATAAAAGGTGATTTCCAAGAGGAACTGTTGATGAGGAGTCTTAATATCCAAAAAGTGCAATAGAACATAAAATGGATTAGATAGTCTCCTCCACCGGTGGGCTGGCTCAAATTAAATGTGGCTGGTGCCAATAAGGGGAATTTTATTGTGGAATCTGATTCTAAAATTTTGGTTGATATGATACAAGCCTAGCTGGAAGATATGGTATANATTATGTTGGTTTTGTAAGACAATTTTCTGCTTATTGAAGTTCATAATTCATGTCGGTAATTTGCAATTGTACATCTAAGAAGTAGATCTGATGAACTGAGCCCGTTTGTGTACATCGTGAAAGCTGTTTCCTTTTTGGGAGAGAGAGGAGGGTAGCAGGTATCCCTTTGGATCACCCATCTTGCAGCAAACTCCATGCTAAATTTTTTTTAATTGATCATTCATGTTATGAGTTCAGATGATACTTAGTTTGTCATCATGCGTACTATATTAGTTAGTTTTTCTTTCCTCTTAAAGTTTCTTCTTTTCTTTTTTTGTCAGGCAAGTAGAGAAGGAGCAACTTGACAGTATTTTGTTGAAGCAAGGTTGAATAAGGCTCTAAGCTAACTTATGTCACTTCCATGAGTTTGTGATGAGCGCCTTGAATCCAAATCTTACTATTAGCTAGGCCTAATGTAACGAATCTTGGAAGCGCACATGGAACTTTCATTAATATAAGCAATTGGTGGCAATATCTTGTTTCCATTACTTGTGTCTTGTTTATTTATATAGGTGCTACAAATAAGGTGAAAGTTTATTTTTTTTGCATCTGCTGGATAATTAGATTGCACCGAAGTGTTGTTATGAGCTTGTTTTTGCCTCGTTGCTTGTAAACAAACTTTTTTTGGAGTTCATTTTATCAACTTTTTTTCCCCTATTTTTTTTTTTTATATTATTCCTCCTTATCCCAAGTAGTTGAGACAAGACTTTGTTGAGTTAAATTGAGTTTTTTGGTTGTTCCTGCAATGTGTTATGCAGCCGAGAGTATCGCTGGATGATGAACATCTAATGGCTGCTGCTCCAACTAAATGACTACTATAGCATATTGGTGAGATTTTTGACTTCTCTTTGTTTTGTTATCCTTTTCAAGTCTGAATGTGGTTTTAAGTGATTTGGAATGATTATCTTGCAATTTTGTCGACTGCTCCAAGTAATCACCCGCAATCCCTCCAAATTGTGTGGAAAAGTTTTCAAATTACAGCTCAAAATTGGTTAACTTCCTGTGAAAAAATCTGATTGACTTGGAATTTCCACAAGGGCTAAAGACTTGGTGGTGTTGATTCTAGATGCATAATTTACTACACCTATACTACCTTAGGGATATCTGTCACCCATTTTCTTCCCCCCCCCCCAAAAAAAAAAAAAAAAAAAAAAAAAACCCCACCCCCCCCCCCCCACCAAAAAAAATGTGTATATTGTTACCACATTTTTTTGGATCTAAGGTATGCCTTCCCATAGATTATATGATTTTAGGATCAGTGAAAGATGAGTTTTGGTGTAAATTTTTTGTTAAAATGGAAGGTTGAATTTTTAGAGTGGTAAAAGACTTGCCTTATATGTTTTGAGTGTTGCCTCAGATTATTTGCAGGTAGTGACGTGGAAAAACTAAGGTGTTCTTAAACTTACCTCTATCTGTTATTTGGATGTGGAATGAAATAGAATTGTTTATGGGGCTTTTTCTTTGCTCTCATAATGTCTTAGTTTTGGAATTGGAAAATTGGCGGTAGACATTAACTCAATTATTACCTACCAAAAAACTGTTGTTCATTGTTCAACAAAATGTAAAAGGACTGGAACTCCTTTTGTGACTATGTTCTCTGTCACACATCTGCATATATGTCTTGCATTTTGAGCTACACATCTGCATATATGTCTTGCATTTTGAGCTATTACCTCACAAAGTTAAGGTTTCAAAGTTTGTGTACTCTTTCATGTTCTGTGATGTATTTAAAATCTTGACAAGTTTGTTCAAGATCTAGCCGACATCAAAGATTGGCATTGTAGATTCTTGGTTGGACTTTTTCTACAAAGCTATACTTGACTATATGTTACACCTTCTTCATCTCCACTTCGAAGGATCAGTTGTGGATTATTATGGTGAATGCCTTCAATGTGGGCACCACCATCCTAGCTTAATGTTGTAGTTACAACTCCATCAATGATGGAATTGAATAAAATACTTCATGGACATTTATCTTACCAATCCCCCCTTTTGTAATTTGGTTACTGGTAATGGATTTGGTGCCTATTAGTTTCTCTATGTTTGCTTCCATTTGCTATATGTTATTGTCATGTTCAATTGAATCTAACATGAGCTTGTGTTTTTCTTGATATTTTGTTTGTTTTGTCAAACATTATTATAGGTTGTGAGATGATTGAAGTTGGATATTTTCTTCTTTTTTTTCCGGAAAGTAAGGTTGGATATTTGGATTAGTAATTGATAGTTTAATGGTTAGAGACATTTGAATTGAGAATTGTTATTGCGCATTTTTAATGCGTCACTATGTTATGAGTTCTTCATTTTTTATCATTCTATATTTTTCCTCTTATGTAATGTGGATTGAACAGATTCGAATGTGGATCTTGTAACTAGATTGATTAATTCTTAAGGAATTTTTTAAGCTTTCTTGATATAATATGTTTATTTTTTTGATAATATTTGTCTATTTTTTTTCCTATTTTGAGATGGGCTTTTATATTATTTTTTATATTACATTAATAATATATATGAACTTATTACATACATGAAATATAATTTAAGATAGTCTACGTGCAACGCGTATGTGCACCAACTAGTAAATTCTAAATGTGACCATAGTTCTCATTAGACACATAACTAAATGATGAAAAACAGCACGAATCAATATCACGTGAATTAACAGTCATATCACTCACAGCCACATGAGCCTCAAACCAAAGGGCTCATTCCCACAGTCACGCAAAAAAATGACAAAAACTGCCACAAGTGATCATAAAGGAGAATTGTCAAAGAAATCCAAGTTCCAAAATCAAGCACAAGAGCTATTGAAACATATAAAAATAAATATCCTAATAACTATAAATGAGGAAACAATCGAAAATACGAGACTGGGGAAGAGTGCTTGAGCAAAATCTTTTTAAGTATAAACAGATGGATATTCCTCAGGCACATTTTAGTAGATAACTCAGGTGGAGCTGCAACTAAGAAGGCCAACCCAGCAACCAAGTAAATTTTGTAAAAATTGCCTGTTCTAAATACACCAATCTAAAAATCTGGTCATATGGCATTTTATAAATGTCATTTAACGTGGATAAAGAATAAATTGTCAAGTCCACAAAATTGCTAAAAGAATAATGCCCAACTACTCCTCATTTGCCTCTCCAAGTCTCTCTTCCCTACTTAGGAAAAATCCATTTGTCACTTATTACCACATTTGATTGCCAATTGAGCATTCTCTCTTGATTTCTATGACGTTTTCTCTGATTCTTCCTCCACATTAAGAGAAAGTAAACATTCTATTCATCATTTCAACCCTGAAAATGTGTATTTACTGCTAACGTAAAGAATTTTAAGTCCTTTTTTCAAAATTTAATCGAGTTAAACATCTGCTTTTGTTTCTAACTTATTTTCTTAGCACCCAATAAATAAAATACACCAAAAGTTCCGAAAGGGGAATGAATTCATGGGTATGCGGAGTATACTAGAGCAAGATTCAGTTTCCAACTAAACTGGGCAAAAAACCAAACAAGGAATTGGAAAGTACGCCATACAACCGCAACTGAAAATCCTTGTGAACCAGGAGGAAGTCAAGGCAATAAATTTCCCCAACAGAGTATCGACCAATACCATCTACTTACACGAAAATTCCAAGAAATCATCATTTATATGAAAAAACCGACAAACATACCATCAATTTCTGAAAAACCATCCTACTGCACAAACACATATAGATGCAGAGAAACACAGAAAGATGCATATAAATTTTAAGGAAAGGTACTGACACGGTCACCGATGTTGCATTGGTCGTGTTCATCGTGGGCCATGAACTTGGAGGTACGCTTGACATAGCGATTGTAGATCTTGTGGTGGAAGAGCCTATCCACCACCACCACCACTGACTTCTGCATCTTGTTCGACACTACCATCCCCACCATCGGCTTCATCTTTCTCCTCTTAGATAAAATGATTTAAGATACTGTCAAGAGAGATTTAACCCTAGGAGTAGAACCCTAGAACCACCCCTTCACTCCACTGCAATACAGACTGATTACATTCACGGGTGACAACGGAGGAGAAGATAAGCGCTAGGCTAAATTACATCTAGATCTTCTGCAATTTATCAAGATTAATGCCCTTACATTTGATAAATTACACTGAAACCCACTGTCAATAACAGATAGCTAACAGACCTAACAAAAGTTGTTAAATGTCTATTTTATTCTTGACAAAATTCAGATAAAACAAAAACTCAAATACAAAACTCACCAGCCCGACCCAAAAACAAAAGCCATAAAATATCTCATTTTTTTCCCTCTGTCCCATCTTCATCCCTGCTTCTACGCAATCATCACCATTGAAGACACCAATTGCTCCTCCATCGTACTCTACCCTACTACAATCCCCTCTCCCAGAAGAATGAACAAGTACTCTTTTTCTCTCCTCTGTCTCTCTCGACTTGGTGATGTGGTGGCTGCTATGATTACTTGGGTGGGATCCGATATTGGCTAAGGTTCTTGGGGGTGGAGGTGGTCTCGACAGCGTCGATTTTGAGGGTGTGATTCCAGTGGAGACAGTTGTAACTGTTGCATGGGCATGTGTAACACTCTGCATTTTCTTTTATATATGTATATAGATATATAGTAAATAATTGTGATAAAAAAATGTAGATATATGTAGTGATGTGTGTTTGAATTTTATAGATTGGAAAATTAGAGATTTAAAATGTCAGTGAAAATAATAGTTGAAATTTAGTTTTAATAAGTGA